TTTAAAAGTCAAAATCAAAGGTGTGCTTTATGTGATAGCTTAAGAATTTTCGATAACGGTTGTCAAATGAAACAAAAAAAGTATCGATTATCTTCTTCGAATAATACTGATGATGTGTTTCTGGATTTAAGCATGACGTTGACCTGTTATTGACATATCAATTCAACGCGTTAAATTTAATCGAATCGGGCGTTCCAACTGATAAGCAATTATTCCCTGTGCGGCCGTTTCTTTAGCTGCTTATCAGTTGGAACGCCCGATTCGATTAAATTTAACGCGTTGAATTGATATGTCAATAACAGGTCAACGTCATGCTTATAAAGCAGTGTACAAATGTGGCTTTTCCCGAGAAGGTCCTCTTCGAGCATTAGATCTACGGGTGTATAGCAATGGTGGTTGTTCGCTTGATACATCGATACCTATACTGGAGCGCACTTTATTACATTGTGATAATATTTATCAGTTTCACAATATGAAATTATCTGGCCGAGTTTGTAAAATAAATTTACCGTCGAATACCGGAATGCGTGGCTTTGGTGGTCCCCAAGGACTGATGATTTGTGAAATTATTCTTGATCAAGTTGCATCCTATGTCAATATTGAACCATCTCTAATTCGTCAGAGAAATCTATATAAAGAAAATGAACAAACATATTTTAAACAGAGATTGAGAAACTGGAATATACCAAAAATGTGGAATCAGTTATTGGAAACAGCCAGTTATCAACAAAGTTTGACGGAAATTGAAATATTCAATCGGAATAGTTTGTATCATAAACGTGGAATATCAGTAATTGGTACAAAGTTTGATATTGGCTTTCATTCGGCAAAGTTTCTTCATCAGGCAGGTGCTCTTATTCACTTATACAAAGATGGAAGTATTTTGTTAACACATGGGGGCGTTGAAATGGGTCAATCTTTACATACGAAAATGATTCAAATTTGTGCAGAATTGTTAAAGATTGATATGTCATTGATACGCATTAGTGAAACATCAACAGATAAAATTCCAAACACAAGTCCAACAGCGGCATCATTATCATCAGATTTATATGGTATGGCCATTTCAAATGCGTGTCAACAATTAAATGAACGTCTTCAACCTCTGAGAGACAAGCATCCAACATCGAACTGGTCTGAATTAATTGAAAATGCCTACTATAACAGAATCAATTTATCTGCACAAGGGTTCTATTCAACCCCGAATATTGTCACTAATTTTGATCAAAATCATGCTGAATTTAATTATTTTACACAAGGTGTGGGATGTTCAGAAGTTGAAGTCGATTGCTTGACTGGCGATTTCATTACTCTGAGAACAGACATATTGATGGATCTCGGTCAATCATTAAATCCCAAAATCGATATTGAACAGATTGAAGGTAAAGATGTTTGGTCTTTCTTTTTTTCAAGAAGAAAACATGAGGTCAAGAAATTAAGTTTCAAAACATTTAGATTTTCATCTTAAATGTATTTTTAAGCTCTGTTGTGGTGAGAACAACTATTCTAACCTTCTGATTCAAAGGATGACAGTTAGCTGGCCATGTTGTATAGTCTTTATGACAAGTGTATAATTTTAAGGTTTTAGTTACAAGCAGCAAAGGATTTTGATAATTGATCAGATAACAGAAGAAATCGAAAAAGTACGCTATTTTTGTTGCTGCGCTGTATTAACGCAACACGTGGAAAATTTTAAAATTTTAAGATTTAAATCAAAAATAACTGCAGTTGCGAGTCAAATTGTTACCAAAAATGTATTTCGGTCCGTGAATTATCATTATGGAATCAAAAAAACACACGCAAATGCATTCTTACTTTCATTGCTGAAGAAGTATCAGCAGAAGGCGTGAAAACTCCTGGAAGCCCCGAAATGTTTTCTAGAAAACCTTCTCAAAATCCTTCTACTGATGAGTACATTAAATTCGGAATTAGCATCGAAAATCACCTATACAAATATAATTTCATCGGTTTTTATTGAGAAAAGACTCACTTGTAACTTTGAAATCTTTCTGGTTTTCTAGAGAACTTTTGGATCTGTTCCGAAAAATTCACGGCAAAGGATTAACAGCAAAGGATTTTGATAATTGATCAGATAACAGACGAAATCGAAAAAGTACGCTTTTTTTTGTTGCTGCGCTGTATTAACGGATACGATACACTTTTCAAAGCAACACCCATACTATTCTTTCAAAATGTAATGCTCTCGACTGTCTTCTGAATATCTCGAGAAAGAAATGTGGTACACAGTTAGGATTTTCACCATTTCAAAAGAAGATACTTTGCAATACACTTTTATAACAAATATTAATTGAAAAATATTTTTAACTTAGGTTTTCGAGGAGATGTTTGAAAAATCAACTCAGAGTTCAAAGCTTATTTATTTATTAATTTATTAATACATTAATTTATTAATGCATTGTCCATTAGAAATAACATTGAGGATGATAGGTATTAACGAAGATTGACGATTGGCTGATTTCAATAAATCAAATAATGTATTGAGAACAAAGAATGATAATTGTTGTCCTTGCTCAGTTAAGTGAATTAACCCAGCAACAGCTCTGTCACTTGTTGATCGATATGTCGAGTATTTTAACACTTTAGCAAAATAAATTTGACGAAGAAGTTCATCGATCAATTTCGGTAATGGTTGATGACGATCAGCAAAAGTGAGAAGAATGACGATATCGTTCGGATCGTTTGCCTTTAAAATCAATTGACCAAGAATATCGATTACTTTTTTTATAGGATATGGCCAGTGCCAACAATAGTTTTCAAAATAGCGATGATGTTCGGTACACTTGGCGTTTCAGCGGTTAATAAATGTTCCAAACAAACAATAGTGGCTTTTCGTAGTGGTCGTCGACGAACGTAGGTTTCAACAACAGCGATGGTTGTGGAAGAAATCTTTGGCTCCCGATCATAAAGACACATTTCTATTAACTGAAGAATTGATTCAGGTAGATCATAATCTTTCTCTACCAATTGCCGAAGAAATTCCAAAGCCGAGATTTGTACTTGTAATTCATATGGTCGTTGAAATAAAGCAATAATGTTTCTAATCGAGCTGATACACGACGAATTGTTTCACTGCCATTTCGCACAAGTTGATCTTGCCAATAGGTGGTGATAAATATTCGACCTACTGGATTTCGAATATGTGGTTCTTGATCATCTAAACAAAGATCGATCAGATCAAGAATGGGCATTGATAATTCTTGTCCGTTATCCACTACATGTTTGAATGTCCAAATAACTTTTTGACGTAAGGAAAATTCTGGATGTTGAAGAAGTCGAGCAAGATTTTCCAAAGCTACAACTGGAATTTTTTCATGTTGTTTCGACATTTTCTGATAGAGAGGCACGATATTATCTAACGGATTTTGATCTTTTTCTGATAGTAGAACTGCTAATTGTTCAAGAACTTTCGCAGATAAAACAATATTTTCGTCCATGCCATAATAACAAAGTGCCACTGCTGCTGTTTGTTTGATACTCATCTCTGGACTGAGAAGTATTTCAATAAGATTGTTGATCAATTCTGAAGAGATCGATTGTTTATCTTTCGTTTCACGAATACTGTAAGCCCGAGCCCATAAACAGTAATTTCGTGCTTTGATGTCGTATTCACCACGCATGCCGACTTGACAAAGAATTCGCACCGTTCGATCAGAAAAAGTACGTTTCTCAGTAACAGCTGCTTTGAAGAAAAGATAACTAGCTGTTAAACATGTCTTAACGTCTTGTAAATTTTTTTCAAGCGAAATTAAATCTAATTTTACATGATAACCACTGGAACCATAGAGAGTGTAAATTTCGACTAAGTTCTGTTTTACTGCAGAATCGTTTGGTTTGGTTAATGCTTTTTCAACTCCTCTCATTTGTTGTAAAAGTGTNTGATTTTAACAAGAATTAAAAGAGTTTCAGCACATAGCCTAGAGACATTTCGTGGACCATCTATCAATCGTGAGAGCATTTCATTGATAATGTTTGATGAAATAACTTGCTCAGCCATCGCTGCATCTCGAAAAGCAGTAACAATAATTGGATGTATGGTTGATTCGATCTTCCATTTCGTCCAGCCGAGAAAAGACGTCTCTCTGAACTTTGTTAGCAAATAATCAAAATCTTGATCTTTTAATTGACCTCTTTTAAATAATGCTGTTAGCTTTTCGATTCTTTGCGAGCCGAATGATACCAAACTTGGCTGTGACCGAATGAAACCATTCTGGGTTGTACTTCGGCATTAAATGTTCGATCTAAATAACCGACTGTACCGAGTTTATGATCGGGACTAAGCGCTTTTGGTGTTGGTTCGCTC